AAATTCCAGATCAACATTTTGTAAATATTAAATTGAAGAGGTGCAGGCTCTTAGTTAATTAATAATCACAAATTGAAAATTTAATATTAATGTGTTGTAGCTAGCTTATTTCATCATCTAATTGATTAATACGCTAATCTAATAGGTTATAGCGCTCAACTTAAGCCCAAAAAAAATTTCTTTTTAATCATCTATGTCATAAAATACACGTTATTTTAATTTTGAGGTCAAGTCATCTAATTTTAGAGACATTGTTTTATAGATGACAATAAATATATATAAAATTTTAACATAAAAAATGAGATATTAATGTAGAATGCAGTTTATCAGTTTCTATTTCTAAATTTTATTTGTCTTATATGTAATATTTACTGCATTTTGAAGCTAAGTACAATTAAAATTGATATGCTAAATTTCGTTTTGCATTTAAAAAAATTAGCAGAGTCTGATTTTTTTATATTTAACGTAAATACATAATATATACATCAAAAGCAACACTTTGGCATCCTTATTTCGGCTTTGTGTTATTAATTGCTAAATTAAATGCTGAAATCGAAAATTTCAAAAATTAAGTGTATTGACAATGTCAACATACGAGTATTAAATTTAAGTGTAATATATTTCATATTAATACTAAATTGCCATACACATTTCATCTTATAAATATTAATTTCTGGAAACTAATAGTAAAACAGTATTACTACAATTTGGATTCAGAGATAATTTAAATCACTAAGTTATTGAATTCAACACACTCGCCTTAATGCATTTTAAAAGGGTCACCTATGGAAACTGAAATATTTTGAATAAGAGGAAAAAAAAAACAAAAGAAAAATTAATATTAATCAATCAAACATTTTCAAAATTAAATTATTCAATTCAATTTTATTACATTTTTCATTTTACTAATTATTTTCATGTTTATTATATTTTCAATGGCGGAAAATAAAAATGTAAGAATACTTTTTAAAGCTATATTATATGATAATCCGAATTGCATAGAAATTAAATTGCTTTTAATAAAAAAAATTTAAATAAACTACCAGAAATATAAAACAGAAAACTTGATTTTGATCAAAATTAAAAAAAAAACAATATTATATGAACATAGTGCATTTTAAATAACTATTATATAAAAAAAAAAAAAGGATTAATAAAATTAAAATTTAGGAAAACTATAAAGCGATAAATAATAAAAATTATACAAAAGAAAAACCATCTTTCACAAAAAACAACTTCACAAAATAAAAAAAAACAATGGCAAATGACAAAAATTTAATGAAAATTCAAGCAAAAACAAATTACTATAAAAACAAAACACTTTAAATTATAAAGTTTATTATAAAATATTTAAAACTATAATTATAAAATATTAATGAATAATTTAAAAAAAGAGAAAAAAAAGTATTTAATTAAAAAATTTACAAAAATATAAAAAAAAATATTATTAATTAATAAAATAAAATTTATAAAAAAAAATTGAAAATTAACTGATAAATTTTTAGAATTTACCATGATGATCGCATTCTAGTCATTTAAATGTTACAAGAAAAAAAAAGAATTAAATACAAAAATTATAAAAAAAACAAAGCATAACAAAAATCAATCTAAGTAAACCAAATATTGAGAAAAAAAATTAAAAAAAAATTATAGAAATATTTTACTAAAAATCTATAAAAACTAAATAATAGAATAAAAACAATAAAAAAATAAATACGAGTTTTGTTCTTGTTTTTTTTATTTTATAATAAGGATATTTCTATTTCAATATAACCTATCTTTTATCCTTTTACCAAATCGTAAATTTAGCACCACCTTCACTTACGCAACAATACTGTCAGATTTAATAGATAAATAAAATAAAAGTTTATTTTAGATGAGTGCCTACATTTTGATAAAGAATATCACACAATATCACACAATAGAGAAAATCTTTTTGTCATCAAAACAATTGCTCGAAAAATCAAACTTTTGGTAATGCTTAATCAGTGTTTTTAACTTGGGTCACAGCGTGCTTTATGGGGAGTCGCCGAAAGAAATTTAAATTAGGAGGCCACGGAAACTTCTAAGGGGCCTCACTTATATTTGTTATTTGCTCAAACACCAGCAAAAGTTATAGCTATGTAGTGCTGTAGAGCAAGTGCCTTGATCCGTAATCATATCCTGACCTTTCGCTTGATCTGTCCTCATATTATTTGCGTATTTTTTTATAGAAATCGAATCTTATATTGCTATGAATCACCCATAATCTGGTAATTTTATTATGATTATGATCACTCATATATTATATGAAGTGATAATATCATGTCTATGTATTATTCTAGCAGCCGTAGGTATGATAATTAAAATTGGTACCAATCTTGACCTGTTTGCAAATGTCAAAATCATCACATGTGCTCTTTTTGGAAAACTTTTCATACGACGTGATATTAATTTTTTATCACGTCAATATTTGCACTCGATGGATATCATTGTTAAAGTTCCAAAGTTAAATGTATAAATAAAACGGAAAAATCGGAAAAGTTAGTAATTACAATAATTTTACTCAACTTATTTTTATATTGTATTTTTGTATTTTATAGAACAAAAAGAATAACAAATATGAGCAATTTGAGTTTCAAATTAATAAAATTAATGGTAGACAATGCTAACGTAACCGAAGGTTTTTAAGGATACTCAAACAAGCATTACCAAGCTATTTTCAGGTCTCTTTAGTAAAAGTTTTAAACTTTTTTCCCGAAATTTTGAGGTACTTTGAAAATCTAAAAAAAATTTCCCATGTTTTATTTTAATATTTAAATTTTCACAAAATTTCTTTGAAATACTGTGGAAAGTTGCAAGGGATTCAAAAAAACGCTAGGTATTTTTGTAGAACTTTCTTTGTTTTTGCTTATACCAAGTAACCAAAATATTTTTCGCTTCATTCAATCTCAATTTTTTTTTGTGACATCACGTTAGTTGTTAATGCTACTATCCTCATAAATCCCTTTTATCGCGTCTACAGGCACGATTATCAGAACGGCTTAAAAAAATTATGGATTTTTTTATTTTTATTTCAATCTCATCTTTATAAATTTAAAGCACTTACTTCCAATGAGTATACATACACACGTATCGGTAATAATAATATTTCGAAAAGAATGAATCAGTATGGCTCAAACCAAATTAATCGTAAGACCTACAAAATAAATAACAATCAATCGTCTGTAAAACGCCTCCTAGTGATAACTCTATGTCGTATGGTTCCGAAGTTATAAGCATTTATTTATATGCAGGAAAAGTGTGGTACCTTTTTTTTCAACAGGTTGTAGCTCGAAAACGGGTATCTCTGCGCCCCCTCACACCCAACACATAGAATGTTTTGCTGGAAATGCATCAAAGAATCATCCCTGAAATTATTTGCCAACTTATGTGAAACGCCCTGTATAAACATAATATTAAGCTTGAAGCAGCCATATAAACGGGATATTTATGTACATATTACCAGAAATAAGTAAGAGGTACTGAATTGAAACAGTTTTTGGTTAGATGTCCCTACGCACACCGAAATCAAATTTCTCAGAAACTGAAAATTAAAAATGGACGTTTCCTTTTGGGCACATAAACATAAAAACAAAACGTCAAAAAAAAAAATTGAAATTTTTACATTTTGAGGATTTTAAAAAATATTTAAATAATTTTAAATGATATTTATGATGTTTTAGCAATTTTTACGTTTGTAAATAATTTTGTTCATTAAACAAGGTGTCTACACATACATAAGTTTATTATTTATAAAATATATATACATATTAAAGGAGTGTCAGTAATTTAGAAAAAAACTTTTTTATGAATTTTTGTGTGCATGTACTGTAAATTCAGTTTGAAAAAATTTCAGGTACTACTATTATTTTGCACGCAGTTATATATATTTGTTTCCGAACTTTCAATTAACATACGAATATTTCAAAAATTTCAATATCTTCATAATATTTCTTTCAGTTAGCATTAAATATCACATTATTAAAAAAACTGGTTATTTCTGAACCTAAACTGTGCGTAATATTATTAATAATGATGATATCTGAAAAGATAAATATGATATTTCTTCATTTTATTAAATATAACAGTCCCGGCGGTTAACCGTGTTGAACGGATTTTAAAATGGAATAATAGGGAAAATATATAAAATTTACTACCTTAAATGTGATGTAAAACGAAAAAATTTAATTCAATTAAAAAACGTATTAAATTTTTAAGACATTCATTTACACATGCGACACATTTAAAATTTTATATAATGTTGTTGCGTTTTTATTTAGATTAAATTTCTTTTGTTTTTTTCGCATATTTACTTATAGTTTCTTTAGCAGATTTTCGGGATTTTTTATTCCTTTCTAATTTGTCTTTATGCCATTTACAATTTTTCCGTAACAATACTAAAACCATAAAATTTAAGATATATTTACAATAATCAATACAATTTATTATTATCAATATTGAACTAAACGGAAAATGTTTAAAATTTTTCAAACGCAAAAAAGTTGCGGCTGGCTTTTTTTACAGCGGCATGGCATAACTGAATTCAATATTCAAATAAAAGAAATGTCTGCTAAAATTAACCGTTATCTAAAGCCCTTTTTTTCTTCAAATTTTTGTTATCGGTTTTTTCTATAAAATAGGTTGTTAAAGTCAGAAACTTTTGTAGCTTTCAGTAATATAAGTTTTTTTCCACCTCCAGCCCCTCGTAAGTAATCATCTAATGTCTTTATATCTAACAAGTCCCAATGCTCAGAGAGAAACTTGAAAGCACGACCTTATTTTATATGGGTTTTTTTAAATCGAAGTGGCTATTTTTTGGGAAGAAATATTAAAATAAGTTTACACTTATTATAAAGCAGGTAAAATTCTAAAAATATATTTGAAAAATCAAGAAAATATATTAATATTTTCATTCAGAATTATTTTTAAATTCTTGAAACAGCGGGAAAACAACAAGCACAACCTTCGCCTTCAATGTTTTATATGTTACTGAAAGCATTCAAAATATCCCCATTTAACTGCACCGCTAGTATTAATTGACATATTTCCTTAAAAATCCCAGTGATTGACAATGTCAAACTCGAAGTGTGTGAGAGTACTAAATACTCACTAATTTCCATTATGAAAGCAACGACACCGCCAAGCGTAATTTTTATTAACACATAGTAGAAATCTTGTCCGTCAATAGTTGCAAAAGCATTCCAAAGCTTCGGGCCTTCAAATCCCAACATAAATGGCAATAATGAAAAAAACATCCACGGCTGCATGTAAAACATCATATCAATTGGATTACAAAGACCAAATTTAGAAGTTTGCATAATCATTTGTGCAAAACTCCGTCGCAATCCGCTAGCCATAGACGCAATTAATAAAAACACAAATCCAAAAGCATCAAAGCTGGTTGATTTGTATGTAAACATGAACAGGCCAGAAGCTATCATACATACTATAAAAACGAGAGAGACAGCCAGCTTTTCTAATTTTAATAGTATAGCAAAAATCAATATAAAGATAATTGCACTAGACTTGGTCATAGTATAAAGGGAAACAGTTACAAGTTCCAAACCCCAATTAGAAAATCCAATATCCATTCCAGAAGCTATTCCTGTTGGTCCTATTGTTCTCACTGAGGTAAGAACATCTATGTTTGGTAATGTTCTTGAATAAATTTTTTGCGATACGAGCCTCACAAAAGCAGCCAAAAAAAATTTCAATATCAGGTGAATAACCACTATTGTCAAAGGATATTTCACAGCCTTTAATATCCATTTCTGATAAAACGTGAGGCATATTGACAATCCCAAGTATAGAATAATAAAAGAAAATATTTTGAAAACTGACATTGGTTTTACAAAAATGTTCGATTTTAAAAAACGAGTATTTTCATTAGTTTCATGGATATCCAAAACTTCCGCCGACAAAGGAACATTTAACTGTTTGTACGAGATTTCGAATGCCATCAAAAAACAAGTGAAAATAACTATGGGAAAACAAATTTTTTTTTGGAGCTGCCTTGCTGCACTTATGGAATTGGCATCGGAAAACAGAGTGATGCTCATTTGGGTGCCGGGCCATAGTGGCCATGCGGGCAACGAAGTTGCCGATGAGTTGGCGCGGAGGGGATCTGGGGCTGCCTTTGTGCAGCCGCTGCCTTTCTGTGGTCTGCCTTCTTCCGCCGTGGGGGCCAGGCTTGCCTGCCTACTCGCGGCGGAATGCGGTCGTCACTGGCGGGACACGAAAGGGTGCCGTCATGCGAAGGTGTTTGTTCCGGCGTGCTCCGGCGGATTCGCTGCGGAGTTGCTGGGGATGAGCAGGAGCCGGGTTCGCACTATTGCGAATTTCTTCACGGGGCACTGCCCGGTGAAATACCACCTGCATAGGCTGGGGAAGTCGGGCTCCCCCCTGTGCAGATTTTGTGGGGGTGGCGATGAGACCGCCGTACACATTCTCTGCGACGGTCCGCCACTGGCTGTTCGGCGCCGCAATTGTCTTGGACATGGGTCTCTAAGTGTTCGGGAACTATTGTCCAACTCCCTTAGGGATATCTCCGGCTTTGTGATTGGGACGGGGATATTATAGACGGGAGAGTGGGGTGGCTGCAATAAGTCAAAAATGGCTGCGGTGGCTTAGGGGGATGCTCCTGTCCCACTCGGTTCCCTTAGAATCTACAATCTACAATCTACTGAAAGCATTTCATTATTTTTAAGTGAACAGCTTTTTTTCTCATAGGGTAAGTTAACTCAAGATATGGGAAGTAACTGTGGTGTCAAGTTGAAAATATAATTAATGAAAGATAATTATTAAATATTGATATAAATACGTAGTAAAGAAAAAATTTTAAGAGAGAATTAGAAAATAATATCTAAAATACAATCAAATATTATTTTTTAAATACAAATTTTATATACACTTCTAAATTTTACCTCTATTTGTGAGAAAAAATTTTAAAGCTTAATATATTACCTAAGTAAAAAAATATTTGAAAGGTTTTGGAAAAGACAATAATATATTTATGACCGGATTCGAATATCTTTTTTATTTTTGAAATAAATAGTATCTTACGAATAGCAATGACTCAAAAACTCCGATTGTAAAATGACAGGTAGTAGGTACTGATGTAAATTTTTGTCCGATATCAATATATAATGTTCGAAATAGTTTTAAAATAATATTTTAAAAAAAATTGATTGGAAGTAGGTACAAACATATTTATTTTTAGGTTTTCAAAAAAATATTTTCATAGAAAGAAATTATAATTTTACTATTTGGTTTTTATACCTACTTGAATATTTGCATATATTTTGCAGTTTTCCGCATATTTTTTTTTTCAAAACTGAAAAATAAAAATTTCCTATTCAAAAAACTGAAAAGTATAGAATTTAAAAAGTAGAAAATAAAATGTTCATGCTTTTGCATGAATTTCTTAACCTATATAATAGTTTCTGATGTTATTAATTCATATTGTGTATCAACCTTGCATATGTACAATAATGCCCTATTATATCTATCAGGCCACCAAGCTTAGAGATCAAAACAAAAATAAATTCCAAATTTATATGGATTTTAAATGAAAGGAGTGTCGACTCTCAGAATTCTACACATTTTTTCAAATTTAAAAATTTAAATTTAAAATAAACCGGTTTTAAAAAAATAAAAAAAAATTCCCTCTGAAAAATGTATTTAAAAAAATGCAATTTTTAGCCCAGGCAACTTGTCTTCCAAATGGAAAGGTATTCAATTACAGAGTAAAATTTTTGAATAAGACATAGAATTTAAAAAGAAATAGACCAAAACAGCAAAAAAATTATAATAATTATGGAATGGCTTTTAAAACTATACTAAATGAAATGAGAATCATAAAGATTACTCAAAAATTTCCAAAAAAAAAATAAAAAAATATTTCAATCGTCATATTTTTTTCAAAATCCACGTTTGTTTTATACTAAATTTTACGACAAAAGAAAACTTTGATTAATGTAAATTATAAATATTAACTTTACTTAATGACACAAATAATTAATATAATTATTCACTAAATTTAAATTAAATTTCAAACAAATAAATTATTTTACCGCTCAGCGATACAGCCTTCCGTACGAAATTTATATGTGGACTAAAGAAATTCTGTAGCCTTTTTATTTGGAAAAACTTATCCTACACAGATAAATGCAAAAATGTTAACATGTCCTGTACATTATAGGAGTTTATGATTATATACATACATATGTACAATATAACAAAATATGAAATTTTAAACTTATATCTATTGCTTTCATACATTCGAATGTTTTTATCTAACTTTTAAAAAAATAAATTTTGTTGTAATAAAAATAAAAGTAAAAAAAATTTTACCTAACTTAATTTAATTTAATTTCATTTCGATGTTTTTGATATATTTGTTTATTTACAATATTTTGTTCCTTTCTTGCCTTTCTTGCTTTTTATTTCTATCGTCTCGACGCATGACATGACCTTACCATCTTAGTCGCTTGTCTAATTTCGTCACGCCTGCGGACCACCTTAATATTCTCATTTCGGCGACATGTTGGTTTGTTCATGTGTTTTGTTTGCTGTTCAGTGATCCGTTCCATACATAAGGGCTGGTCTGACCTCTGTTTTGCAGATTTTGCCTTTTTGTTTAATCGAAAAAATTTTATCACATAAGGCGCCTGCACCCGATCTCTACTTCATCCAGCCAACATAATAAAAGTTAGCGGTTAGTAACGATTGCATCATTTTTTTTGCTTAAAGTTTTGTTTTTTTCAACTAAAAAATAATATTAAATTTTAATAAGCTCAAAGAACATAAATTTTATTGGAAAATTGAATTTAACGCAAGAAGCAACTTATTTTTTAACATATTGGCATCGTTTTTCATTGTATATGTTATAATTTTATTAAAAAGCAATTCTATAAAAGTACATTAGCGGATTTTAAAATTTATTTTGAATAGCGGAATCGCTTAGATGGAATATAAATACACTGGATTGCGGATTTGAAACAAAATATCTGTGCTTTTTATTATTATTATAAATCTCACTTTGCTTTTTATTATTATTATACACCGTATACCACTTCATTCTGCACTTATTTATTTTAAAGAAAGTTTAACACTTTTTTGAATTGGTTGAATATTCATAACAAAAACGAATTGCGGAAAATGTCATAGGAGTTTGAGATCAAGTTCAGCAAAAATCAACTGCATTGGATCTTGTGGTAGATATTTTCATCCTAGTTGCTACAATTTAATTGATTATGATATTAAATTGTTGGCGGAAAAATCAAATATTAATTTCCACTGCGATGAATGTTTGAATTTTGAGGACCTGGTGTATAAAAAATATTATGTGTGATGATATGAAAAAAGGAATTGATAAAGTTATGGATGATGGTGAAACTTTTAGTGAATATTTAAAGAAAGTTACATATGCTAATAAGAGTGAAAATAAATTTACTTACGCGGATATTGTTAAAAAAGACCCAGTTCTATTAATAAAACCAAAAAAAGTTCAAACATCGGCAGAAACCAAAACAAACTTGAAACGTCATGTTGACCCAGTAAACTTCAACTAATGTCTTTATATCTAACAAGTCCTAATGCTCAGAGAGGAACTTGAAAGCACGACCTTATTTTATATGGGTTTTTTAAATCGAAGTGGCTATTTTTTGAGAAGAAATATTAAAATAAATTCACACTTATTATAAAGCCGGTAAAATTTAGAAAATATATTCGAAAAGTCAAAAAAATATATTAATATTTTCATTGATAATTATTTTAAAATTCTAAAAAAAGCGGAAAAACAACAAGCACAACCTTCGCCTTCAACGTTTTATATGTTACTGAAAGCATTTCATTATTTTTAAGTGAACAGCTTTTTTTCTCATAGGGTAAGTTAACTCAAGATATGGGAAGTAACTGTGGTGTCAAGTTGAAAATATAATTAATGAAAGATAATTATTAAATATTGATATAAATATATATTAAAGAAAAAATTTGAAGAGGGAATTAGAAAATAATATCTAAAATACAATCAAATATTATTTGTTAAATACAAATTTTATATAAACTTCAAAATTTTATCTCTATTTTTATTTGAAAAAAATATTAAAAACTTACTATCATTTATATCAATTACCTAAGAAAAAAAAATATTTAAAATGTTTGGAAAAAACAATCATATATTTTTATGACCGGATTTGAATATTTTTCCATTTTTGAAATAAATGGTATTTTACCAAATGACTCAAAAATTCCGTTTAATATTCTTTCCGTTTAGAATTAAGATAGGTCATACATACACATGCAGGGACATTTTATAAATAGATTGCTCTTGTTTACCTGCTAATAAAATATGAAAAAAGAACACAGCAAAATTTTTGAAGCACTCAATATAACATGTTTGAAATAGTTTTAAAATAATTATTTAAAAAAAATTTATTGGAAGTAGGTACCTACATATTTATTTTTAATAACTTAAAAACTAACTGAAATTATTTGAAACAATTTTATAAGTAACGTATAAATAACCGAAATGAGATAATTCAAATTGTTGAAATGTGTCAACCTATATTACTTTTATTAACTTTTTTGTTAGCCGACACTACTCAACTTATCTTATTGGGAAATACAAAATGTGCATGAAAAATCATACATCCTTCCTCAATTAATGACACAAATAATTAATATAATTATTCACTAAATTTAAATTAAATTTCAAACAAATAAATTATTTTACCGCTCAGCGATGCAGCCTTCCATACGAAACAAGCAAAACAAACTTGAAACGTCATGTTGACCCAGTAAACTTCAACATTAATGGAGTGTCAGAAAAAAAGGATGGGACTATAGCAGTGTTCTGTCAAGATGAAAAATCGATACATTATTTAAAAAATCAGGTTGAAGAAAAATTAGAAGGTGAATACGTAATTATTGTGCCAAAAGAACGAAGCCCTAAAATTTTAATCACTGGTATGACAGATAATTATGAGCAGATTGA